GGGAGTTCCTCCTGCTTCTCTTCTCTCGTCGCGGCCGGAGGCGAGACAACCTCCGTCACTAGCTGCCAAGGTTGCTAGACGGACATTACAAGCGAGGCGTTAGCGACATCCACCAGGTGCTCTTTGCTAATCGTTTAATTCGTTTTAAAATTCCTTTTCGTGACTTTTTTAACAAGATATTGGTATGTTCGATTTGATGGTGCTTTTTTGAACACATATAGACCAAAAAATGAGCGCCGAAATTTCGTTGTAGTATCCCTTTAAGACATCGCCTTAAGTATCCCAGTTTCTTAAATGCTTTCTTGGTAATATAGTCTATGTGGTGGTTCCACCTCATGCCGCTTGTAAGCATAACTCCTAAGTATTTAAATGAATCTACTTTATTAAGTTAGGTGTCCTGTAAAACATATGGGTTATCTAGGTGTTGTTTTTTTCTAGTGAACGTCATAGTTACAGTCTTTTCAAGGTTCAGTGACATTTGCCGATTCTCACACCATTTAAAAATTCTCGCCAGGGCTGTGGTTAATAGCGCTTGGTCTTCGGTGCTACGTATTTCATGGAATAGTACGCAGTCGTCCGCAAAGGGCTTAATTTGTACCGGAATATTGAGGAGAATGTCTTTAATAAAAACTAAAAAGAAAAGTGACCCGAGGCACCCCTGAGTCGACCAAGACCGGACTTGACCGGGTCCCACAAATACACACTCACTGTTCTCTTAAGGAAAGATAATCATGGATCCAGTCGCATAGCATGTCGTTTTTTAAAAGCATCCTCAGTTTTAAGAGTAGTTTGGAGTGTAAGACCCGGTCAAACGCCTTTGCGAGGTCCAAGAATATTGCGTCGACTTGGCCTCGCCTATTGAGTACTTCTGTAATGTAATGGACTGTTCCTAGTAATTGTGTACTTGTCCAAAAACCCTGTCTGAACCCGTGCTGTCTATTGTCCGATAATTTGTTGCTCTCAAGAAAAATAGGCGATGTGTTGCAAAACGACGTCTTCCAGGATTTTTCTAGACACACACAAGAGCGATATTGGTCTGTAGTTCGTTACAAGCTGGCTATCCCCTGATTTTAATACTGGGGTAATTTTGGCACGTTTCCACTCCCGTTGTACCTTACACGTCGAGATAGAGTTCTCATATAATATACAGAGGTACTTAGCACACCATTGTGCGTACCTCTGCAAGAAAGCATTTGAAATGTCGTCAATGCCTGGGTATTTTTTGGTATCCAAATTGAGTAACAAAGACAGAACACCTGATTCTGTTATGGACCAGTTGGGTAGGGATGGAGTAGAAGCATGGGGCTCACTAATTTCGGTGTTATTACCGTTATCGACCGTGAATACTGATTTAAAATATCGGTTGAGGCAGTCAACCAAGGCGGACGGGTCACTAATAATGCCTCCATCCACTGACAGACTAGAAACAGATGCTATCCTTTTTGACGACGAAAGGTATCTCCAGAACTTAAGTGGTGAAGAACACAAAAATGAGACCAAGGTTTCGTTGTGATATCTATCTTTCGCTTGTTTTATATGACTACTCAGCTCTACGCGTAATTTATTTAGTTTCTCAATGGCCGGAGACAGGCACGTAGCCAGGGGGGAGGCCCAGGGGGGAGGCCCATGGGGCCCGGCCCCCCCCCCCCCCCCGCAAAATCCTTTATTTTGCTGGGACCTCCCCTCCCCCTCCCCCTCATACAGCATTCTGTCATGAACGGCCCCCCCCCCCCCCCCCCCCCCCGAACCAAAATCCTGGCTACGTGCCTGGCCGGAGAGGACGATGCCCGCTTACAGGATTTTTGTAAGCTTTTATCCTTGCTTTGTAGTTGAAGTATTTGCATTGTAATCCAAGGGTTTTTCTTATTTATAATCTTGCTTCTGGTGGGAACACATTGCCTAATGCTTTCATGAACAATTGATTTGAAGAATACCCACAGTTCGTACACGCTATTACAGTCTAGCTTACTCACTCTTTCGAACTCGGAAAAATGAAGATCTAACCGGTCAAGAACACCTTCGTCATCAGCCTGCAGAAAATTAAGTGCCCGAGTTGTTTTGTGTGGTTTGTGGGGACAGAGTTCGACAGTTATCGTGAACAAAACAACCTTGTGGTCAGATATGCCTGGGAGCAACGTAGTGTGCGTAGCATAACTTGCAAGCCTATCACTAATAAAAACAAAATCCAGCGTTGATGCTGACTCGCCACTTTCTCATGTCGGGTCTTTAACCAATTGCGTAAGGTTATGGAAAACTGCTATGCCAACTAGTGGTTCTGTTGAAGGCGCAAGAAAAATGGGGACCGGGCTTGTCCAGTCGATGTCGGGGACGTTAAATTCACCGCGACTATGAGGTTGCGATTACTTAGACAATGGCGACAGAGGTAATCATTTAGTTTGAAGAAAAAATCGAGATACGTTTGAGGGGGGCGGTAAACCGCACTGATAACAACTACAGCAATATCTGGACCGCGAGTGGAAGCCCATAGGTTTTTTCTCCCAGAAGTTAAAACCAGCAGAAACACGCTACGGTACATTCGGGCGAGAGCTGCTAACCTCAAGCTTTCATCAGTCTTTCATACCCATGACATCACTGGACTGGAATCGCCTTCCCGGACCTGTTGCCAGCATAGCCGAGAGTCCCGGATTCAAAGCTGCACTTTGCGAATATTTTTTTGAATTTTGGTTGACAGTGTTTTGTTTTAACAATGTTCTGTTTTTGGATTTTTATGCTTACCTGCCTAATTACTGTTTGTCTTTGTGTGCAATTACTTGTGTGTGTCCACTCCCCTCTATAATTCCTTCGGGCCCTGAGGGCATGAATAAATAAATAAATAAATAAATAAATATACCAACTCTGAGGCATTATCGATACTTTCTCGAAGGAAGACAGTTCTATGTCCTAACAGATTACAAGCCGCTGACGTTTGCTTTTAAAGGTAACCACAACGCCTATTCTGCACGGGAAATTCGACACCTAGCTTTCATCTCAGAATGTACCGTCGACCTCCGTCATATCAAAGAACAAGATAACGCAGCGGCTGATGCCCTGCCACGTGTCGGGGCTATGTCCTCGCCCTGCTTAGACCTCGACCTGGAGACACCGACTGCAGCGCAAAAGGAAGACTCTGAACTTCAGCATCTCCGAGACACATCCACGTCTTTGCAGCTGAAAGAGATACTCTTCCCACACTGTCCCACAAAAGTCATCTGCGACATATCCATGGGGACCAACCGACCCTATATTCCTCCAAAATTACGTCGACAAATTTTCGAACAACTCCATGGCCTCAGCCACCCGGGCGTGCGAGCTACGCAACGCCTTATTGGTGCACGTTACGTGTGGCCACGGATGAACACTGACGTTCGAGACTGGACAAAACAGTGCCTCTCGTACCAGCGATCAAAAATTACTCGACATACCAACACACCTCTCATGCCATTTCGCACCCCAGATGCCCGCTTCGATCATATCTACGTTGACATTGTGGGACCTCTTCCTCCATCCCGCGGTTTCACCTTCATTCTAACATGTGTCGACCGCTACACTCGTTGACCGGAAGCAGCGCCGATTCCAGACATTACAGCACAGACAGTTGCGGCGACCTTTGTTAACACATGGGTCAGCCGTTTCGGGTGTCCATCCATTGTCACAACAGACAGAGGTCAACAGTTCCAGTCCGCTTTATTCTCATCATTAACGCAGTTGCTAGGAACTCCCCACATCCATACAACGGCCTACCACCCCTCTGCCAACGGCATGGAGGAACGCCTACATCGGCAGCTCAAAACCGCCATCGTAGCACGTGAAGGCCGAGCTAACTGGGTAGACCACATACCTATGGTGCTCCTAGGTCTACGCTCTTCATTCGAAGAGGACCTCAGCTCTACATCAGCAGAGCTGAGGCCGGATTCACGAAGAACGTCTTATCTTAAGACAATTTTTCTAAGAAGTTCGTATCCCAAGAAGTTCCTACGACATGCCGAAATCGGTATTCTCGAAGGGCTACTTACGAACGAAAATCCTACGACAAAAAAAGTGAGGGAAAGAGAGAAACTTCCGGTGTCTCGCGACCAACGTGAGCTGCGAGAGGGAAGCGTTGCCATGTCAACCGCAGGGGACGCTTTGTCCGCACACATGCGTTTGTCTGCCACGTGCATTCGTTCTCGCCGGTCGAACCGATAGACAACGGGAAATGTCGACACCGCCCGCCGACAAGAAGGCTCGGATGAAGAACTTTTCAGAGGTCGAATTATCGACCTTGGTTGATGGGTATGAAGCGCACAGAATCGCGATCGACGCGAAAGGAGACGGGCCCCATGGATCGGCCGCCAAGCAGCGGGCTTGGAGAGGATTACGAATGACTTGTTTGCTGTGTCTGGGGTGAAAAGAGAGATCGCCGATGTAAAGAAAAAATGGGCTGACTACAAGAGTTCCCAGAAGAAGCGAGGTAAGATAACCCATTTTTACAGTTCGCGAACTAAGTTGTTGCGATATGCGTCGTAACGCGAAACGTTTGGCGCGAATGGTGAGCCTACGAGCGAGCACATTTTACTCCTTCAAGTTAGTTTTTATTACTTTTGGCGGCAGTCTTGAAGATGTGAAGTTGCCGAAGGGCGACGAGTGCTATGTTCCCGAATGCCGCAGAAGGTTATTGTCTTCTGTCAGCATCATAGGACTTCAGCCCAAGCGTGTAATGAAATGTGCAATCGTTTGAATTTCGCTCATACCAGTGTCGTGCACGAGATAATGCGCAGTTAGATGTCACTGGTTTTAACCAACATTCTAACTCACCAACAGTACAGTGGCAGTCTGTTACGCGAAGAAAATCCAGGAGCAGCTGATCAGTCGCGCGATGTATATCTCGTTTTTCTGACGATATCCGTGCAATGTTATTTGGTACTAACCACAGGTGCAGCCCTCAAGCGCAGTCAGTGTGCGACTGGAGGCGGCGTAGGAGACAAGCCCCTGAACGACATGGAGGAAAGGGCCGTGGGACTTCTGAATGTGGAGGCCATGATTGGCATCCCAGGCGCGTTCGACATTGGTGTTCCTGTAGAGGTACCTAATGGCGAGCCCTTCAGCCTGCCGCTTTCCGGTAGGTTAACAGGAGGCTCGGCAAGGCACTAGCATTCCTTCATTAATGGGTATCTCATAATTATTATGCTCTTTCATTATACTAATTCCATTCCTGGACCCTAGCTTAGTCAGAGAGGGTTTTACTTTATCTTTCCAATATAAATTATGTCACCTTTCTATTAAAACCCACATTACCACACTAAAACAACAACAAAAAAATGTTTCATAAGTAGTATGTTTCCTAATTAAAATTTCAATTTTCCAGGCACTCCCATAACATCGGACGCTGCTAGGCCCAGATCAGTAGACCTAGTTCTTTCATTCGGTGAGTTCATAATAGATACTGGTCTGGTTAATTTAACTAGTCATGTTGCACCTTGGCATCCTGTAAACCAAACCCCTGGTTTGGGAGCACGGCCTAAAAATTTCAGTCTAGCTTGACTAATCAAATAGCTCTATATCCAAATGGTCTCGACGAGGGACTAAATTATTTGGATAAACAGGGCATAACGGTAATAAGAGTTCAGGCACAGGCAAGCTGGTGAACGGTTACACTGAGAAACCTCTATGCAAGTAAGTTGAAGAAACAGGACAAGCACAACGATGTACCATCATCTAATGTTGTGTTTGTTCTGTTTTTTTCGCTTCCCTTGTCTGAGGGTTTCTCAGTAGACAGAAGTGTACTATATTTTTACCGAAGATTCAGTTTTCTGGGTCAGTACAACATGTTTCTTAATCTGTGTTCAAGATACTACTGCAGAACCAAGCAGGCCTAGTTCAGTGAGGCCACGACATACAAGGTTTGCTGCCTTATCAATCATAACATTGCACATAGTGAATATACTTGTTTCATTACCTAATAAGAACTAAATCTTTTTTGCCTTCCAGCCAGGCTGATAATATTCCGAAACGCCCGCAGGGCGATGCAGGTGCGCGACTTCAGATTTTGTTGAATAATCATGCTTGCTCGACAGCCGACCACATACTTCAACAGCAGATTTTCCTAGTACTCAGCTCTATTGTTATTTCTATTCAAATGTCCACGGTGCAAGCGGAGGTGGGCTCCAGGAGAGCGAGGCCCTGCCGTGCACTTCAGGTAGCCGCAGGTCTAACCACAAACGTGAGTATAGTCCTGCTAGATTTGGATTGCAGCATGCAGCAATACAAATTTAACTCTGAATACAAAAATGATACTAGATAGAATGTGCAGCAAAAAAACATGTGCGAGAAGAGAGATCCACTGTAAATTCCATGCCAAGGCAATCTGCCATGCAATCTACAGCCTCTGAGCTGCAATGCACTAACACTCGGCCACTGATCCCCCAATTATCTCATTAACTACTTGTTTTGCTCATTCATGCATGCTTCCTACAGCTACACCTGGACATTAATTTTCCATACAAGTATCACAACAGTAGCGTGAAAGTGGTGCAAGGATTTTAGGTTTTCAATCACAAAAATTATTTTTCTCTGATGTGCAGGTAGCAGGGACGCCCCTAGCCACGAGATAATCGAGACTCAGGAGGCTATTGTGGAACGCCTCGACAGGATTGTGGTCCTGCAGGAGCAGATGGTGGCACTGAAGGCATACAAACTGAATGTTCGGTTTGAAAATGGCAAAATTGTCCCCAGGTATTAATGAAACCTGACTTAGGTACAATAACAATAAACTGTTTCTTTAATGCACTGAAGACTCTCGTTTTCCTGAAGTTTCACTTGAAAACGCTGTTAACAAGCTCATTCCTGACGGCGGTGCCAGTGGCCGTGTCTCGGGCAGTGGTTGGCCTGTCGTCTTCTTCCTCTTCCTCGTCCTCAGATTCTGGAACTGTTCAGGATGCCACATTTAGCACAACAGAAAATGAACACCTCGAAGGCTTGCAAGCACAATTTAAACTTATAACACTGCAATAGCTGAATTAAGGTGCTGGAAGCACTCAATTATAAATTGCGGGTGTCACAAATCCAGATAGAGGCTTATTGAAAGTTCATAAACGAAAATAACAGTATGGAAAGGGAATTGTGGGTCTCAAGTGTATACCAAAATTAACATATGAGAGGCATTACCACCCACTTTGGAAGCAGAGTGGCCAACCACGGGTGCAGGGCCCTTCGTGATAATAGACCCTCCCGACACTAGACCAAATCACTTCTGCAATATGTACAGGAGTAGCCTTTTACACAAATTCAACTCTGTTACGTCACGGCTCGGTGGTGGCGCATTGGGCGCACTTCCGGTCTGTAGCTGTGAGCAGAAATCACCATGTGGGACATGCATTCCTACGCTCTTTTGGAAGAAACAATACAAAAACCCGCCTTTTCGTCAATACACTGTGGCTGGGGCTGTACCAGAGGAGTCGGGGAAAGTTAAGGTCACTTTTTATGAGTTTTCTGCCTGCTCGGTTCGTCCGAGAATGTGGATAGGTGCCGTGAAAGAGGAAAACCAGACGCCATCGGACCACAATTACTTGTGCGGGAAGCACTTTGGGTTGATTTAGCGGATACTTGGGGTCGTCAGATTTATTTGTTTTGTTCCAACATGAAGGAGGGAAAACCAGAGTTGTACGGACCACCTGCGGACTACGTTCAGTGCTTCATCACATTCAAACAGCCGCCTGATCGTTCGAACTGCCGTCTGCTCTTTCAAACGTTTCTGCCTGTTCTCGTATGCTTGTTCAAACAGCGTCCCGTAGACGGAACGTTGACCCGGTAATTCCGATCAGAAGTAACTAAGTCAAAAGACCTTTAAGTTTGAAGGTTGGTTCGTGTAAGTAGACTCGGTGTAAACAGTAGATACAAGGAGATGTTGATCATTGTCACCCATGGCCATCACCCAGGCACGTAGCCAGGATTTTGTTTCGGGGGGGCCCGCCCATGACAAAATGCTGTATGAGGGGGGAGAGGAGGCCCCAGCGAAAAGAAAGATTTCAAGGGGGGCCTGGGCCCCATGGCCTGGCTACGTGCCTGCCATCACCGACTTGTTATGCCTGATTCACGACGTCGACCATCTCAGCTACGGTTCACCATATTGCAGCCCGAGCGACGTCATCGTGCGAATCAGGCTTCAGCATCCATTCTGTGGTGTCCACGTGGAATCAGTCGCCGCATGTCACATTATTCAGGCAATTTTGTGGTGTAACGAGCCTCATTAATTTCGCTGAGGCCGCTAAAGTAGTCGCACATTGCCAGGAAAACGTAGGATAAGAAATTCCAACGCGAAAAAGCACGGGGATTGACACTGACGGCGACAACATCGTATTTCAATACTTTGCTTATGGACGACGGCGAGCTTCTTGCCCACACTCTATCGCACATGTGCGGCGCCGATGGCGTCCGCTAGGGGCACTCCATTTTGTTTGCAAACACGAGTTGGTCTACAGCCAGCAGGTGAGTGACGCTTACGATAAGTTAAGAACAGGCGTAAGGTGTGTTGATTTTCTCTAGTACCTTATTTTTTAAGTAGCCTGATCTAGCCTGCCAAACCCTGCTGGCTCGTTTGAGCGCACAGGGAGAGCTGGTGCTGCGAATGAGACGCTAGGCTTAAAAGGTAGAACATCCGCCTCAGCTTCAATGAGTCCCGAAGTGAACCAGTGGTGCGCAAGTCATGCAAACGCTTCGAATGAAGCTAAGAAGGTCAATAAAAACAAACCATTGCCACCGCAGGCCGGAAGAGTACGGTGAAAGTATCGAGTGAAAGCGGACACTACATGGTCCGCACTTCGCTTCGACCACGCAGGGCAGCGACATATTGACACATCTGTTAATGTGACTGTTGCGCCACAACGCGGTTCTGAAATGAGCGTTGGGGTTTTGGTACTATTTGAAACCATATAGTGACTCTAGGTAAAGCTTCATGAATGCCAAAGTTGACTGCGCCTTTGATCAAGCGGACTGTTTGCGTGACTTTCCTCCAGCAAATTTAACGCCTGTATTTGCAAGCGGTGACAGACTTTATATAATAGTGTGCGAATTGATACCTACAAAATAAAAATTAGAGTAAGCAGAGAGCTTGTAAAAGAGATTACTGTTGAGCTTGCAGGCGACCAGAATTAGTTTCCCCTTTACCCCCTTGTGACGAGCAGAATGAAGAGCCCGGGGTCACACCGAACAATGCTGTCGCTAAACTCGTTAATGTGGCATTCCTAGTGCTCCAATGCACAAAGCCTTACCGGGTGGTTCATCGAGGGAAACATGGTGGCGGATGCAGTAATTGTGCAGGACTGCACAGGCCACAATTATGCGGCAGCACACACTAGGGGTGTACTGGAGGACCCCTCCGGACCTGTCCAGGCATCTGAAGCGTGACTTGAGGATTCCGAAAGTCCTCTCGATGACCTGTCTGGTCTTCGTGAGGCACTCGTTGTAGTTCTCTTCCTCCTTCTTCCGCGGCTTACGGAAGGGAGTCATGAGCCACGGCTGGAGGGGGTAACCTGCGTCCCCTAAAATATTGCAAACGGTGTGAGATTTTATGCCAGTGTGTAATGCAGTCAACACAATGTTCCACCTAAATTTAACTACCTCACACTTTGCCTCTCGTAGCTGCATTGGTGCAACTCCCACCTAATTTGTTTCTTTCTGACGGCTATGTCAGCTGCGAACGAGCTATGTGTGAGCAACACTAAACAAAGCACTCAACCAATGTTCGCACTCGTAAAGGTTCGCAGGTTTGATTTCCACCTTCTCTCAGTTTCTATGTCAATCGGCATTATGCTGGTGTGCTTTCATAACTTATTATAATGAGGTGCACACGAAAACAGCTCGTGAACTGCATCATGATCACTTTCGACGAGATCCAATAGACTCATTTTACCAGCCAGTTTGGTTGTGATGTGCTCATTGTGCTGCGATTTATTCTGTGAGCTGCAGTCCTTTCGCAGGCGTGAAAACCGATTTGCCAGCCTGCGCGTGCAGAACGTGAAACAGTATGACCGTCCTGCGCACTGCTGCCTGCTCTTTGTGAACTGCGGTCATGGTGGCGACACATGTGCACAGAGTAGTTGGTGAGATTGGTCTACCCCAAAAGATGCTATGTACATGATTCTGGAAGGTTCAACCAACTAACCTCATTGTGTTCGCTCGGTGAAGGACATTCCCAGCTGTAGAGTTTGACTGACGTGTGCAGCGATAAACGTTGCTATACTGTCATAGCGTTTAGTCGTTTTTTGGAGTTGCTCATTTGCCTTTCTCGCAATAGATGCATACTCAGTTTAAAATCAAAACAAGGCTGTTTAAACAGTGTTGTACACTTTGCTCCTCAAAGGTAACGAAATACATTTACTCGTTACTTGGCCTTAAAAGTAACTAAGTGCATTACTCGTTACTTGGCGTTAAAAGTAACTAAGTGCATTACTCATTCCTTTTCTTAGAAAGTAACTCGGTAGAAGTAACTTATTACTAGTAATGCATTACATACATTTCTGATTCTAAGTGTGATAAGGCATTGTCATTCAGGCTGCTAAATATCAAATAACTCTATAAATTGGGACCAAAGCATACCAAGCAACCACCCGTCGGGCATGTTGCCCGCCTCGAACTTGTCAGCCAGGTCACAGTTTCTCCACATGAAGCTGTCGTGCGTGCTTCCTGGCCACTTCACTGTGAGCTGTGTGATTTCATTGCTGGCGTTGCAGATGGCTTGCACATTCAGCGAGTCGTAGCCCTTCCGGTTGCGGTAGAGGTGCTGCTCCTTTTTCGCGATTTTCAGGGCGATGTGTGTCCCATCAATGCACCCCAACACCTTGGGGAACCCGTTGATCTCCAAGAAGCTTAGAGGTTAAACAACAAAGATTATGTTATGGTGTATTTTTATAGAGCTAGAACAGGTAATGCAGACACTTTTCCTACCTGAGATAACACTTCTAGATGAGACATGCCTCAAATGAGGTACGATCACGATCGTTCAACATAATTAACTCAACAGGAAACGGGGGGGGGGGGGGGGGGGCAGTGATTTTAATTGCCACTTTGCGTGGTGCAAATCCTCCATCTTTCAGCCTGCATCTGCGGCAGAGAACAGCCTACACACTCATGTTGTGCGAGAGATCGGTTCCTCAGAGCAAAACTTTGCGTCGCGCACGGAAAGCGGACGCCGATGGCGGAATTTTAGCCCGCAGATCCAAATATAAGGATCAGTCCGAGTAAGCGCGCTAACGTGGCTCTGGCTTCGTTAATTGCATTGAACCGACGGTCCCCACATTGGGGAAAACACTTACCGCGTGCAGTGAGCAACGCTGCCCGCGACGTCGTGGAAAACTTGATGCCACTGTTGGCGAGATCGCAGAGCGCACTGCTCACTCCGTTGATTATCCGTGAGGAGCTCGACTGGCTGATGTTTGCAACGTCGCCCACCACCGACTGAAAGCTCCCGCTCGCATAAAAGCGGAGCGCAAGCAGCACTTGAACGTCGACGGGGAGCGAGCACGAACGAGCTGTCGGGCGTCGAAGCGCCGGCGCCAGAGCATCGCAGAGCCTCTGCACGGCTGGCCTCGGCAAGCGGTAGTAACGCTCGAGGTGGTGGTCCGAGATCGTCTCTAATGTTCGACGAGTCCGGAAGACACGCTGCTGATGCAAAGTCCTTCTCGCATCGCGCTGCTGGTCGAGTAAGAAGGCGACGTAGGCAGCCATTTTGAGCAAGCAGTCGCGAAAATGTTCGTAAGAAGAAATGGACCCCTGTCGTAGGATTCTGTCGTAACTTACGCAAAAACTGAGAACATTTTGCTTCGAGAATACCAAAAAGTTCGTAACTTTTGCGTAAGTTATATTTCCGAACTTTTTTGTCGTAAGAACGTTTCGTGAATCCGGCCTCTGGTGTATGGCTCACCATTACGTCTACCGGGCGAGTTCTTTATTCCCACACCGGACCACGGCAACGCCCCTACTCCTCACCAGTATCTCGATGAGTTACGAAACTTCATTCGTCGCTTGCAACCTGTGCCACCACGCCAACCAGCTCATCCAAAGGTTTTCACCAGCCAAAACCTTACGACTTGTTCCCATGCAGTGTTACGCAAGGAAGGAATTAAGAAGGGCCTCACTCCACCGTACAATGGCCCCTACAAAGTTCTGACGCGTACTTCCAAAACATTCACGCTGGACATCAACGGTCGCGAAGAAGTTGTAGCGGCCGACCGCTACAACTTCTGCATGGTGGTTAGGGGATTCCCCCTAACCACCATGCGCACCTCCCTCGCACCACCTTCGCCAGAACTGTCCTGCCTTCATCAAAATACAAGCCTATTAGCCTTGATTCTTAGGGGGGAATCCTGTGGCCACGCGCCACTAAGAGATCTCTAGAAAAAAGAAGACAAGGTTGAAGCGCGAGGGGATTAGAATAAAAAGCCCAGTTGGATTTCGGACATCAACCTTGTCGGTCGTCTCTACAACAACGTTGGTTTTTCTAAGGGCCATCGATGCCCAGACATTCTATTCCCTCGATATCTTCCAATCTGCTCAGTACTAGCGATTCGTCTTATAGAATAGCAACCCCCCCAGACCTTCTCTTCCTTTGCGTAAAATTCGATAGCCTGGTGGACAAAATCCGTGATCGCCGATCTCTGGACGGAGATCTGATTCTGTTATTACGATTATATGCGGCGAGTAAGTTACTATTAGGCTTTCAAGGAGTGCGATCTTGTTCACGATACTTCGAGCTTTAACATTGATGCAACGTAGTTCTTCGTTATGGTATGTTTGTCACGTTTGGGAATCACGTTCCCTTGTACGGGAAGGAAGCTTCACCCTGGTATTTTTTGTTGCATCCCACGCGAATAATTCTTTGCCGATCCTAAGTTTGTCATGTACCAGGGATACCTTAACTCCGTCCCGTCAAATGTGGGAACTACTGTCCCACAATAACTTTCTTATTTCAATAGATTTTACTTTGACATTAAGTATTTGCTCAATTATATTTGTCACCGTTGCTGTATACAGTGAATCGTTTGTTTCTTCCACTGTCTCGGGAACCCCGTATATGATTAAGTTTCCACGTCTACTTCTACGCCTCAAGATCTACAGTTGCTACGTCTACCCCTCGAGATCTATAGTTCTTCTTTCTACAGCTGCAATGGAATTGTGTAACGTGGTCATGTTAGACTGGAAGTTAGCCTGGAAATTATGGGAAGCTCTCTAAGCTCTGGATTCGATTTTCATAAGACTGTAGCCTGCTTGCTCTCAATGCCCTGAATTGATCGTTATGCTTTCGTCTGGGCATTCATAATCTCCGTCAAGCCGCCCATGACCTCCTGACGCATCGTTGTTTGATTACTAAGAGTTTCAGAAATCTGCTCCTCTAGTTGGGTTGGACGGGGGTTGGGGTCGACGTCACCACAAAGCATTATTAGTAAACGTTTGAGTTTCATCAGAAACCAACAAAGTTTCAGAGCACTTTTCAAAATACAGCTTGGGCACGTCAGCTGAACAAGGCATACATTATTCGATCTTTCTGTAGAATAACAGCAACTAACCTGTATGCGATAAATGAAGGGATTAGCCATCTTCACAGGCTGCGCGCTGACGTGCCTACTGAAGTGCCGCTCGGAAGACGGCTCTCTTATATGGGTGCTGGTTCCTGTAGACGGCGCTACGTCCTTGTTTTTGGTCTTGCATGACAATCGGGAGGTGACACACCGATCCTTGGTTATAGTCTGTCGAAGATTTGCTTGGTGTTTCCGCGTAGATTTCTGAGTGCGCCGAGATAAGCAGGATGACCTGCATGTGGTAAATGAAGGGATTAGCCATCTTCACAGGCTGCGCGCTGACGTGCCTACTGAAGTGCCGCTCAGTCGACGGCTCTCTTATATGGGTGCTGGTTCCTGTAGACGGCGCTGCGTTCTTGTTTGGGTTTTGCATGACGATCGGGAGGTGACACAGCGATCCATGGTGATAGTCTGTCGAAGATTTGCTTGGTGTTTCTGCGTAGATTTCTGAGTGCGCCGCGAAAAGCAGGAAGACCTGCATGTTGTAAATGAAGGGATTAGCTATCTTCACAGGCTGCGCGCTGACGTGCCTACTGAAGTGCCGCTCGTTCGGCGGCTCACTTATGTGGGTGCTGGTTTCTGTAGACGGCGCTGCGTTCTTGTTTGGGTCTTGCATGACGATCGGGAGGTGACACAGCGATCCATGGTGATAGTCTGTCGAAGATTTGCTTGGTGTTTCTGCGTAGATTTCTGAGTGCGCCGCGAAAAGCAGGAAGACCTGCATGTGGTAAATGAAGGGATTAGCCATCTTCCCAGGCTGCGCGCTGACGTGCCTACTGAAGTGCCGCTCGGTCTACGGCTCTCTTATATGGGTGCTGGTTCCTGTAGACGGCACTGCGTTCTTGTTTGGGTTTTGCATGACGATCCGGAGGTGACACAGCGATCCTTGGTGATAGTCTGTCGAAGATTTGCTTGGTGTTTCCGCGTAGATTTCTGAGTGCGCCGCGATAAGCAGGATGACCTGCATGTGGTAAATAAAGGGATTAGCCAACTTCACAGACTGCGCGCTGACGTGCTACTGAAGTGCCGCTCGGTCGACGGCTCTCTTATATGGGTGCTGGTTTCTGTAGACGGCGCTGCGTTCTTGTTTGGGTTTTGCATGACGATCGGGAGGTGACACAGCGATCCTTGGTGATAGTCTGTCGAAGATTTGCTTGGTGTTTCCGCGTAGATTTCTGAGTGCGCCGTGATAAGCAGGATGACCTGCATGTGGTAAATAAAGGGATTAGCCAACTTCACAGACTGCGCGCTGACGTGCCTAGTGAAGCGCCGCTCGGCCGAAGGCTCTCTTATATGGGCGCTGGTTCCTGTAGACGGCGCTGCGTTCTTGTTTGGGTTTTGCATGACGATCGGGAGGTGACACAGCGATCCTTGGTGATAGTCTGTCGAAGATTTGCTTGGCGTTTCCGCGTAGATTTCTGAGTGCGCCGCGATAAGCAGGATGACCTGCATGTGGTAAATAAAACGATTAGCCATCTTCCCAGACTGCGCGCTGACGTGCCTAGTGAAGTGCCGCTCGGTCGAAGGCTCTCTTATATGGGTGCTGGTTCCCGTAGACGGCGCTGCGTTCTTGTTTGGGTCTTGCATGACGATCGGGAGGTGACACAGCGATCCTTGGTGATAGTCTGTCGAAGATTTGCTTGGTGTTTCCGCGTAGATTTCTGAGTGCGCCGCGATAAGCAGGATGACCTGCATGTGGTAAATAAAGGGATTAGCCAACTTCACAGACTGCGCGCTGACGTGCCTAGTGAAGTGCCGCTCGGTCGACGGCTCTCTTATATGGGTGCTGGTTTCTGTAGACGGCGCTGCGTTCTTGTTTGGGTCTTGCATGACGATCGGGAGGTGACACAGCGATCTTTGGTGATAGTCTGTCGAAGATTTGCTTGGTGTTTCCGCGTAGATTTCTGAGTGCGCCGCGATAAGCAGGATGACCTGCATGTGGTAAATAAAGGGATTAGCCATCTTCCCAGGCTGCGCGCTGACGTGCCTACTGAAGTGCCGCTCGGTCGACGGTTCTCTTATATGGGTGCTGGTTCCTGTAGACGGCGCTGCGTTCTTGTTTGGGTTTTGCATGACGATCGGGAGGTGACACAGCGATCCATGGTGATAGTCTGTCGAAGATTTGCTTGGTGTTTCTGCGTAGATTTCTGAGTGCGCCGCGAAAAGCAGGAAGACCTGCACGTGGTAAATGAAGGGATTAGCCAACTTCACAGGCTGCGCGCTGACGTGCCTACTGAAGTGCCGCTCGGTCGACGGCTCTCTTATATGGGTGCTGGTTTCTGTAGACGGCGCTGCGTTCTTGTTTGGGTCTTGCATGACGATCGGGAGGTGACACAGCGATCCTTGGTGATAGTCTGTCGAAGATTTGCTTGGTGTTTCAGCGTAGATTTCCGAGTGCGCCGCGATAAGCAGGATGACCTGCATGTGGTAAATAAAGGGATTAGCCAACTTCACAGACTGCGCGCTGACGTGCCTAGTGAAGTGCCGCTCGGTCGACGGCTCTCTTATATGG